AAGAAAGACTCAAATCTAAAAAGTATAATGTTCTAATTTAATTTAGCATATCATTTGAGGAAGTCGTCTGCACATTTTTTATTGGATTAACAGTTCTTACACCTTCATTCTGCCATTAAAAAGCAAGAGCATTGTCAATCAGTAAGCAATGCTAGTTTTATTGTTTCTGAAATCGGTGATAATGTACGGTAATTGGTGTAAATTTGACACTTGTGTTTTTGTATTGCATACTTGGATTTCGGTCTATACTCATAAAATGAAATTGCTGGATTGCACATTACATGTTGGATGTTACCAGTTCTCAAACATTCATTCTGCCATTAAAAATTAAGAACAAGGCCAATCAGTAAGCAGAGCAAGTTTTATTTTTTCTGAATTCGGTGATAATGTACGGTAATTGGTGTAAATTTGACACTTGTGTTTTTGTATTGCATACTTGGATTTCGGCCTATACTCATAAAATGAAATAGCTGGATGGCACATTACATGTTGGATGTTACCAGTTCTCAAACATTCATTCTGCCATTAAAAATTAAGAACATGGCCAATCAGTAAGCAAAGCAAGTTTTATTGTTTCTGAATTCGGCGATAATGTACGGTAATTGGTGTAAATTTGACACTTGTGTTTTTGTATTGCATACTTGGATTTCGGCCTATACTCATAAAATGAAATTGCTGGATTGCACATTAAATGTTAGATGCTGCCAGTTCTCACACCTTCATTCCACCATTAAAAAGCAAGAACATTGCCAATCAGTAAACAATGCAAGTTTTATTGCTCCTGAAATCAGTGATACTGTTACGTTAATTGGTGTCAATTTGACACTTGTGTTTTTGTAATGCATACTTGTATTTCGACGATATTCATAGAATTAAATTGCTGAATAGCACATTACATGTTAGATGACGTACCTGGAAAAAACAATTTTGTTTATAATTTTGCATGCATTAAAAGAATGTAAACCTTTTTTTTCTCCGTAAAAGTGTAAAAACTGTTCAGATCTCTTCAGCCATAATTGAGGCATTCATTTTGACTTATTTATCAAAACACTTATTAGACAAAGACTAAAAGATGCAATACAGCTTCCATTTTAATGATTTCAGCACAAATTGAAAAGCTTCTGTTATCCTACTCCAACTCATTTGTCGAGGAAGATGACAAAGGCAAGGGGAAAAATCATTCAAATCTCTTTTGGTCTCGTGGTAAAGTTTACTCTTCCTTTTTGTTTTAGTCCCTGAGCAATGATGGCAATGATAAATGATATTCTTCGCAAAGTGTTCGACTTCAGAACAGTTATTGTTTTGTTAAAAAGGGAATGGGAATTTTGAAAGGCGTCCGAGTGATTGTCGTCGATTGTTTGTTGGCATCATTCAAAAGTAAGAAAGTTTCTAAAACTCGCCAAGGCTGTGATTTGTCATTCCAGAGAGCTGTTTGAAATGGTGGCTGACAGTGACTGGTGTTTGGTGTTGTTGATTGGACGTTATAATTTTGAATGAAATTTCAGAAACGAAATGCTGATGCTATTTTGTACAATGTTGCTGTATGAATAGGTCATTTTTTTTAAATAAGTTTATTGTGTTCTTGATAATCAATTATAAATTATATATTTGCGCAAATAAAGTTCGTGAACAAAGAACGAAAAAACTTACATGCATTCTAAATTCCTCAATGATGCAATCTTTTGTAATTGCAGCATACTTCTGTCATTTGATTGGAGTAAGCAATTTTTTAAGAACTGAGATTTAATCCTTCTGCAGAAAGTTAAAATAAGTATGACTAAAATTAAACAACGTTTCATTACTAAAATAATGTTAATAATTACAAATAATCTGTTTTCTTTTATTTTATTTCCAGCTTGTTTTACGAATTTACGATAAAATTATTTTTGTTAAGCTATTGCATTTTAATCACTTTGATTTTTTTTTATTCACTGCGAAGTTCTGTTTTCATGTTTATGAAGATAATTTCGTAATAAATGTTTCACTAAATTTTGAATTAGATTTGCAGTCCCAGAGTATAAAAATTTAAATTAGTTGAGTGTTCTATATGTAATATATTATTTTAATATTTTAAGAGCTCAAAAACTAAACTAAAGTAAAAGCAAAATGTAAACTTAACTCCAGAATTAACGTTTTGACATGATCACACATATAGATTAATATGATGAACAAAAAGAAAATGTTAGTTGGAACTCTTCCTATATATATAAATATATTCAAAACGGAATATATAAATATATATTAAAAAAAGAGAAAAAAGAAATAAATAAAAAAAAATCTATGACTAACACTAGAAAACTCAAAATTTTTACCTCTACTCTGATGATGGCTAAATTGTGCAAATCTTAGTTTTTGTGGGTCCGAATGCGTTCAAATACTTTAAAATGTATGGTTTAAATACTTGTAAATGTTTTGAATGCATAAAATTCAAATATTTATAAATGTTCAAATACTTATAAATGTTTAAGTTCTTATACTTGCAGCTAAATGTTATATAAACTAAATGCTAAAGTTCAAGCACTTATAAATCACGTTGGGTGGGATGTTTTAAAGTTTTTAAATGTTATAAATGTTTTAAATGTAAATGTTCAAATACTTATAAATGTTTTAAATGTAAAAGAATGGTTTTCTTACTTTAAAATGCGCACTTGAATTAATACTTCTTATTTAAAGCAACCTTTCAAATATAAAAAGGTTCAAGTGCACAAAAAAAGCACTTAGCTTTTTTAATCACAATTACATCAAATTTTTCAACATAGTATTTAAACATCTAGTCATTAATTAACAAGTTTATGTTATTTCGGATTGTACATACTATTTGATCCTTGTTAGATTCTTTTTAACAATCTCGCTTTTCAACTTCGCTACCAAGTAGTTGCCCGAAGAGAAGAAGTATAGTCTAAGCCATCAGAATATGGTAAAATTTACCATTTTCTGGCTCTAAGATGGAAACACCAAAAGTTAGATAATTTTAACCAAAGTGCTCTGTTAATGATTTTGGTGAAATTAATAAAAAATATGTTTTTATAATAAGTTATAAAATGTGTTAATTTTATCATTATTCCTTAGAGTATAGTATAAAAAGCATTTATACTGTTAAATACATTTTTCCGATTTGCGTTTTTTGCTAAATGTGTAGTAATAAGAACTATAGTACTAAAAACCAGAAAATCCGGGAAACCACTACCCGGATTTTCTGGTTTTTAGTACTAAAAATTAATTGTGAATGGTTTAAATACTGCGCATTATGGTTTTATTAACTAAAACTCTTATTATCTTTTTCACCTGAAATGTTACTATACAGCACCAGCAATGCCAACTTGTTACTCTTTTTAAGACATTTTCATTTTCTTCTATTGATAGCTAAATTTCTCTTTTAATGTATTATTCTTTGTTTTGTAAAACAGATTTAAAGTTATTTTTTACTCCACTACACGTAAATGATTCAAAAGTTCACATGAAACGATACATTGAGTAATGTACTTTTAAAATATTGTAAAAATTCTGAAAACGTAAGTTTTTAATTTTCTATCACTCTATAAAATATTTTCTAAAAATAGCGTAGTACGTTGTTAGCAGGCCTGCAGTACGAGTTGTAGTCTTTTTTTCTCCGTATGGAAATTGTATTTTTTCGTCTTATAAATGGTTGCCTTGCTAGATTGTTATAACAATTATTAAAGGCATAAATAAAATAAGAATTTTGCTGTCGTTGTTGTTTCTAATGCTGCAATACCAGCAAGCCTGTTTGGTCAAACCAAGCGAATTTAAGGCGGAGGATTCACTTCTTGTTTTTCAGTGGCTCCATCTATGGCCAAAAATATGATTTCAGCCACACATACGTCACAGCCCGTTTATAGGGTGGGCCCATTCATATATCCATTCATACATCCACAGATCGTAATTCAGACCTCAACCAGAGAACAATAAATGCCCAAAGCGGTATGTTTTGTTACGGGAATCTGGAAGAATTTGTGACCCGGCAGATTTAACATGCACCTCCCACCATTTACTGCACGGGGAGTCTTTGGCAGGCGGGAAACTAACTCACGACCTCTTGGACATGGGCTCAACGCTCTAATTAACGGCACAGAGGATAGAACGCTCGCTTCCCAATGAGGTGAACCGGAGTCGAATCCCGGCAATTGCTGGGTGATTCGAATTCCGTAACCGGCTCGCACAGATTACAGTGCTGTGCTGACGTAAAATACCCTCAGTTGTAGACGGATCATGGGTTAGTCATAGGACCATAGAGTCCCTTTCCCGTCAGGCTAATCATAACGTGGTTTTCCTCTCCATGTAGCGTGAATGCGGGTTAGCTCTATTGAAATGTCCTCCACAAAGGTAAATTTCTTCCAATACTTGATCCAGGAGCTCCCTTGTCTTTTGGATTGAGTTCAAAATTACAAGGCTACGGAGTTGAACATTTGTAGTTGAAAACCCAAAACTTTGGTCGGCTGCTCAACCACTGATATAAAATAAAGTAAAATTGAGAAATGCTTTCGGGGTTTCAGTCAAATGTAAAACAAATTCCAGCTAATTTACTTAAAAAAACTACTGTGAAGGAAAGTTTTTTGTCAAAGAAAGACTACCATTGTCTTACAAAGTTATGGTGAAATTTCTCTTTTTTTTATCTATTTATTTATTTCTTATTTAGCAGTATTTGGAAATAATAATTTAGAGACGATTCCTTGCGCTTGATAGAATAAAATGTAGAATTTAATAACAGTAAAGCTCGCCGACTCGTTTTTAAACAATATTTATTTCTTTATTAATTAAACAATATCGTGAATTCTGCTTGGAAAAAATAAATTGGAATAAAATAAGGAACCATATAAAAATATTCATATTCAAATAAAATAATTCCATATATTCAAATAAAATAATAAAATAATTCCATATATTCAAATAAAATAATTTTGATTTAAACACGTTTGGTAATGTTTTCTCCAAGTAATCGTTTAAATCTTAATTAATCAACATATTCTTTATTTTTATTCCAGGTGTAAATGAAGCGACCTCTGACGGAAATTCAGAAAACAATTCTTCAGCAGACGAAGATTCCCAAATGCGAATGCGTCTGAAACGTAAGCTGCAACGAAATCGAACCTCGTTTGCCAATGAGCAGATCGAGGCCCTTGAAAAAGGTATGCCCTCAGAAAAACCACATTGTAGTAAAACCTTCAAAAGCTCGAGGTATCCCTTCCAACAAAAACAATTTAACTGTTCAATATTTCAAAAAATAAACATTTGGCTTATGGCTGAATTCACAATTGAAATATACTGCAAATCATTTTATTTAATAATATATTTATTTTTTGAAAGTTATTATGTAGGGTTAATTATTTCACTTAAATTTGGGCTCCGACAATCGGGCTTATGAAAGTTTTGCTACAGCACTGCTAATACGCTTGGATAGCACATTTTGCCAATTTTTTTCTTAAAATTTTAAAATTTGATTTTTTTTAACGAACATATTTTGTGACCTCGAAGGTTAATGCTTTTTTCTTTTGATTAGTTATATAATGGAAAAATATATATCTGAAAGAATTAGCAAAATAAAAATTAATGTAATTTAAAATTAAATCATTATATTAATTAAAAGACACTTAAATGCCGAATTCTATTATTTTTCTTTTGCGCTTGATTTCTTAAAAGGACATAGCTGAAGGTCGTTTTCAAGGGCTTGTGGTTCTGCATTTTTTTTGGTGTTTGTTTGGTGTCCAAGCATATTTTGTGTGTCTTTTAGTGGAAATATTTATGCATGGAAATGTTTCGTTTTTTCTGAATAAGTACTTTAATTAATGTTTCACTGTCATTTATGTTAATGTAATTAAAATGTACTAAATTTACTTTTACTGAAAAGTAAATAATCAATATTTTTTGACAAATTTAATGTAAGTATCTTTTGTGATAATATTACCTGTAATATATTGTTTAGTTAAGAAGAATTTCTAATTATATCCAGTAATTTACATAAAACTGATGTACTTACATACTGTAAAAAATAGATGCTCAAATTGAATGAAACTTTCTTCATTTTCGACAAAGCAATTTCCGGGTATATGCTCTGAGCAAAAATTTCGTTAAAGTGACGATAACTATAGTAACTTCTTCGAGGAATCAAATTTCGTAATTTAATTTTTTTTTGTCCGAAAAGAACGAAAAAACAAAGAAACTCATAGCGCCTAATGCATCTAATTTTTCTTTTAATCATTTTATCGTTGGCACGGTATAGATGAATCAACGTCACCCAAACAGCAGAAGAAGAACAAATAGAACAGCGAGATAAATTACGAACAAGCCCGAATCGAGATTCGAACCTGGGATCGTCCTGGTATGCGGCCAAATCCTTGACCACCATACACACCGGTCGGTCCTTTTCGGCACTTAATTTTTCATCGTCTAGCCTTCATCCTAGTTTCGTAATTCTAGTTAACAATTTCCCCTATTGCACTGCGATTAGATTCCTAATTGAGGAAGCATTTTCGTCATAATTTGAGAGTTTCAGCTTTGTCACAAATCGCATGATTTTGTGACGAAACGATTCTCAAAATTAACGAAATATAGCTCAGGGATTGCTGAATCATCAAAAGTGAGAGTTTTATTTCTGAGAGTTTAATAACAATTATATCGAAATTTTACAATTAGTTAAAAATAAATGTAGTTTTTATTAAAATTAATTTTGTATGAAACACATATTGTACTGGATGACAATAAATATTTTGACATATATATTGCAAAATCTTAATGCGTATTAAAATATCAGTACCAAATTTTGAAATAAATGTAGCAAAAGACCTTTCAAAGTTTCATTTTTTTTTCTGTTATCAACTTGTAAATCCTTAAACTTGCACAAGAGAAAAAAAAAAAAAAAAANAAAAAAAAAAAAAAAAAAAAAAAAAAAAAAAAAAAAAAAAACACATTAATATAGGTATAATTGGATAACATCAAAATAACTGTAATTGGAAGTAAAAACTTGAGGGCGTTTCTAATAATCGTTGTTTAATTTCTCCCTGTTAATTTTTTGAAAGCGTTTTTGTTTTATCCTCATTTAAATATTCATTTGAAACCCCCAATGTGAATACTTGATACTTTTAATTTTTATAAGGATTCTAAAAATCTATATTACAGGTGGTCTTTACTGAACATACTGTCCATAAAAATATTTAATCATACAAATATTAGAATTATGTACGTTTTTACGTTTTTAAATAATATTTAAAACAGTTTTTTTTTAATCAAATTTTTGGCAAAATGTATGATTACTGTTTTGTTAGGAATTAAAAAAATTATTTGTAAATTTAATTTTAAATTTTACATAAAACTCTTTAATAAATTAATACTAAAATATTTGAAAGTTTCTGAAAAGCAATTTTTTAAAGTTAGTATTTTCGTTTGATCCAAAAACATAGGGTTCATTCGTTTTAAGAAAATGAATAGTGGGGGGGGGGCACTTATCAAAAAACGTAGTTTTATGGTTTTTATTTATTTTTTTCTATTTAAGTTGACTTTTGCTTAGGTCTTTTAGAAAATAGATTGAAGTTTTAATTGGCTTTGTTTACACAGTCTATGAAGCAGTTTTAAAATGTATATGCATCAAGCATGGAGCTCCAGCATATAGTTAGCTGGAAAGTGATCAAAGTTTTGATTTTCAATAAAACGAAAAATTATAAAAAAGGAGAGGTACATTGTGTTTTGTGGGGGTCAGGAAACGACGTGGATTTGCATTGTGATTCAGTACAAAGCCACAATTAAAATTAAGTTTAGTTCGATGGAAAATCGTTAATACTTCGATTGGGGGGGGG